AAAAAGTATGTGTGGAACATTTAAAAAAGGAAAGAATATTACAGCCATAAAACATAATTAAAACATTATGAAGATGTAGAATAATTATAATAATAATAACAAACTTAAATAAATTGACAGAAATATGAGAAAAAGAAAAGCAATATTAAGGGAAAAAAAGGACACTTCCATAACTTGGGATGAACTACCATGTTTACAGATAACTAGCTTGTCATGTTCACTAAAAACACAGCACTGCTATTAAATTCAATACAGACATAGGAGCCCTCACAGTCAACCTTGTGTGACTTGATCTTCAATGCTTTAGCCAAGAGAGGAACACATTTTGACTCAAAATAAAAACAGGGAAAGTGGAATAATAATAATAAAAAGAGGTGACAATATCCATTTTCTTCTTTCTACCTAACTGAAGATCCCAACTTATTACTATACTTTGGTGAAGAAAGACTTTTTGACTGTTTCTCGTTTCCTAGGAGGGGGGACACTGGTCGTATAGCAAATAACGAGCATTCTCAAGTTACGATTCAAACACAAGGAAGACACCACCTTGCTCCATTTGTCAGAGATAACTTTTAGACAATCTTTATACATATCACGTCATAAGACACACAGTTGTGAATACTATACAATGAAAATAAACGGAAGAGGATAAGGGAAACAAAACTCATCACCTATGCTCTTGTTTCCCCTCACTAGTAGTCTGCTTAAAGAGCAGCCCAAGCCACTGACTGGGCCTTCCCTCAGTTCCCGTATAAATCATTCTATGGACATAAAAGTAAATAAAGTAATAGAGGGAAAATACGTTTGAAAAAAGGAAAAAGAAAAAAGTCAATAATATCCCTTGTAAAAAAAAAATATATATAAGGGGGAACAAATTTGGAGTTGACATTACTACTGCAATAAGCACTGTGTACAGAATTATATCTATGACCCTGAAAACTGTAATCTTGATCATTTTTACATTACCGACTCCAGGCAAATAAAGGAAAAAATCATGCAATATTACTGATGACGTGTAATTTTAAAAAAAATAACGTTAATGACCATAATACTAAAAATAATCAATGAATAAACAATACTTACAATTTTTTTTTATGATTAAATATTGAAACATATTGCACTCAACTTCTGAAACACAGTGTTTAACCTTTTTCTTCTTCTAGCCATTGAAATCTGGATGACTTGAAAGCCTGACGGAGAATAAAGTCTTAGCTCCAATATTTCAACTGTGTAAGCAAGCACTTGAGAAAAGCCTCTGTAATATTTTGTGCTGAAAAAAGCTTGCATACGTATGGGTGTAAATGTCTTGTCTTTCTATACATATATTTGTGTATGTCTTTGTGGGAAGTATTACCAGTATAATCACAGATAAACCAAGTTTCCACCCTTAAAGAAAAATGATGATAAAAAGAGGTAAAAAGGACAGACATAATATCAGTCTAGGAGCAAATTCCAACAGCAAAAAAAGGCAAACATCTACAAATAAATAAATGAATTAACTGGAAAGCATTTCTTAGCCAAAATAAAGTGAGGAATAAAAATAAAAATAAAAATAAAAAAAGGAAGGAAAGAAAGAAAGAATGAAAAAAAAAAAAGTAATATCAATATCTCTTGAAACACCCATATGGTTTCCTTCATATCCATTACCTTTGAGCTTCTTCATTAGCCTCCAATTTAGAATATAATAATCAAAAAGATTTCTGTGGTGAAGAACCTGTGTGCTCAAGCCTTCAAGTTCCTGGTGTACCGGTCATAAGGATAAATATAACACAATAATAATATCTTTCAACATAATTTTACCAGACTATTCTTTTGGTATAATCACTGGGGTTAAAAAATAAAGCTTACCAATGACAACTGGGAAGTAAATGGACTTCGTGATCACAAATTCTCCCCAGTTATTTTTGCTTAACCCAAGACAACAGAAAAGGTTTTAATATGACAAATTAGAGAAAAGTGGCATGATGATGTACTTGATATTCTTTTTTTTTTATAGATGCTACTGCACTATGAAGTGTGACATTAACAGTTTTGGATATTTAATTACAGTGTATTGATCTTTGATATTCATAATAATAATGGCAATCATAATGATAATGATAATACCTATGACTACAATAAAAAGACAAATCAGAAAAAAAAGAAAAAAAATCTATAATTAAAATTCAATTTTGAATATCATCCAGTTCTATTAAACCTTATTCTTTTTAACCTTTAAGGTAAAGCCCAAACCCACACAAAGGTACAACAAATGTGTCCTACAACCGAACCAGGTTACAGTCAAGCTTTCTAAACCTCCTGTAACATTCAAACATCAACACAAGTCAGTGTCACCTCTCCATGAAGAATATACTTTTAGATTACCAAAGGGGATTTTCCAAATGCCTATACAGGTCAGTTTTATAGGGCTTAGCCAATCAGATTAGTTATAAATATACCTCATTATTATACAAAAGTATGAGTGAGTAATTGTAAGGTGTCAGTTAATAACCATTTAATAATAATCAATAAAATAAATATGATTAGGTGATTTTTGGCTATCACATGGCAAGGTCAAAATAGTATATGATGAAAACATTTCTTGCAAAAAGAAAAATATCCAAATTATGCTTTACATACAAATATCCTTTTCAAGCCACTTATTTCCATGTAAGATCAACACAAACGAAAGGCTTTTTCCATGCATATGAAAAGCCTTACACTGAAGAATCATAAGGCATAAAGTGCACAAAAGTTCTAAGATCAATTCAATTGCACCAAGTCATGATAGTTACCGCAGAGAAGTGGTTCTTCTTGCATTAGGCAATACACATGCTTCTTTGACAGTCTCTTGGCATACACAAACACTTTTTTTTTTTTGTTTTTAGAAGAAAAAAGAAGAAGAAAAAAAAAAGGAAAATCTTCCTATACCAAGATTCCATCAAAGGACCAAAATTAGGTGGCTAATATCTCAATCTCCTGACAACATTCACATCATTCTGGGACAAACTCCGACACATCTGACAGCAACACTCAGACGTAAACATGAGCAATAACCTGCAATTATTGGTTCCTAGCTTATCATCTTTTGAATCCATCCCCTGAGTGCAGTGTAGATAGATGGTACTGATTAAGCATAAAAAAGTCTGTGCTTGTTTATCGTCACCTCCCCCGCGAGCATTAGTCTAAGGTGGGGAGTCTGCGGTGATGTTAGTTTTAATGCAGAGAACACGGTGTGCCCTCTGCCATAAGGAGTTTCATAGACAAGCCCTACGGAGAAACAACCATCTGCAGAGAGCCTTCTTAAACAATCCTGCAGAGGAGGTGTCCTTACAGGGTGTAACTGACTCCTTTATGTGATAAAAATATGCAATGACTTTACGCACAGCACTGTCGGGCTGCACCTCCATCCCTACTCCGCTTATCTGGACGAACAACATTGTCGGGATTTTCCTGTAAAGTAAACAATCCGGTAAATGATTATGCTTTTAAGATCCTACTTAAAAATAAGATGAAAAATTGATGGACCTCCTACCTCCAAGCTGATCATTATTTACAACTAATTAAACATAATTAAAAGACACTGCAAATCAGTAGAAAAATCTTAGGAGATACACCAAACTTCCAATTTTACTCTAACTATAAAAGAAAAAAGAAAGCACGGAATAAATTCAACACTTTAGTAATAATACTTAACATCAAAAAGAACAAACTCGGCAAAAGACATCTAAATGAATACAACTGGCTTACCTGTGGGTCACGGCCCGGTGTCTTGTTTAGGATTGCTTCTGCAAGTTCTAAGAAAGCTTGTTCAATGTTGATGTTGGCCTTGGCTGACGTCTCTAAGAATCGGATGCCATGTTCTCGTGCAATCTGAAATGGCGTTTCCATGAGAGCAATTGTGGAAAGTAATTCACTCAGACTTCAATGAGTATACAAAAATAACATGCTAAACTGCAAGCATGACTATTTACAAATATGGACAGAATAAAAGGAAGAGTAGGGGGTGACTGAGGGAGTGGGACTGGAAGTGGAAGAAGAGGAATAGGAGAAGAACATGAAAAAATAAGGGGAGGGGGGACTGAAGAATAGAGGTAGAAGAGGAATAGGATGGAGGAGATGAAGGAGGACAAGTGGAGGAAGACAGATAAAAGACAGGAAAAGAAACAGAGGAAGAGGAGGAGGAAGAGAAATAAGTGGAGGAAGAGAAAGAAGTGGAGGAAGAGAAAGAAGTGGAGGAGGTGGAGGAGGAAGAGATGGCAGAGAAGAAAGTGGTGGTGGAGGAGGAGGAGGAGGAGGAGCAGCCTTTAGAAAGGGGATCTTGTATTATTTTCACTGTTAAATGAGGGTGGAATTACCATTTATAAGCTAGGCTTAGAAAAAAAACAAACAAAAAACACCAGTCTAGTGAGGACACTATTTCCATGTACAAGAATCTGACTGCCTTGACCAGCAGCACAGGAAGTGTTACAGAAAACTGAATATTAATCCTTTGGATCCAAATCTGGCCGAGTGTCGGGTGACGTGAACATGCTGTTTTAGAAAATTTGGCTGAGGGCAGGGGTGTTGGGAACTTGCTGTCATGAAGGCTGGGGTGATGGGAACAACTTCGCCCCTAAGTACACAAAGCTCTTGGAGGGTGATTAGACTCGGTAGGCATTTAGGAGGGGGCTTTTACATTATTTCTTCAGGTAAATGAGTGTGGAATGTATCATCCATGAGCCATAACTGAAAGAGGGCCTATTTCAATATTTCCATGCTCAGGATCCTATTTCTAACTGCCATGACCAGCAGTGCAGGTTGTATTACAGAAAAATTTATTATTATGGGGGGGGGGGGGGGGAGTTACTTATTGTTGCTATCATTGCACTGAATTATGGACTACCTAAAGAGATAAGGAAAACAATTTATTGCCGTCTGGATACAGCATATTAAATGACAAATATATTCACTAGAAAATGGCAAAAGAGCAAAAATGCTTATACACAAAGAGATGACATTGTAAAGGGGTGCCAGTGAGTCTTGACATGACACATCAGAGTTTGTGTGTGCCTGATCTACGGGCCACACACACGAGGGTGGCTATTCAAGTGAAGAGAAGAGGATGAGGAGCAGAAGAAGAAGAAAAAAGTTCTTACTTATTGTTATAGCTATTGCACAGAGTTGTAGTCTATCTCGAGTGATAATATACTCTGTTCAACAAAAACAGTCTATTCCATCTTAACCCCATGCTGCCAGGGAAAATGCTCTCTATAATGTTATAAACATTAGTAACAGCAAAATATGATAATGTTAAATATTTTCATAAATCAAGGGAAAGGGTAAATAGGCGAGACAGGCAGTACTTGTAATTTGGCTCACTGGTGACATTGAGTTAACAATCAGATTCAGTGTTTACTTTTTGGGACAAACTGGAGAAAAAATGTACAATGTCCTCTACAGACCCTTGCATTGATATTTCATTAGACAAACAATACCACATTTTTAAATATTTTCTATTAACTACCAAGGAAATAATGCTTAAATTCTGATTCACAATAAAAGAAAGAATTTAATGTCTAGATTCTTCTTTTCTTGAGTAAAAGCCTCCAAGCTAGTACAGCAGTAACGTGTCGGCTTCTCATCCGAGGGGTCAGCGGTTTGCACCCCGCCCAGGCGCAAGAAGTTGCAATTGTCACGTGGAGGTTACTGCTGTGGCTGGGCACCACAGCGGGTAAGGACTAAGCTCATCCCAGTCAGCACCAGCTGACACACTGTTAGCGAGTCGACATTAGTCGACACAGGCCGGGCTCCCCTCATAGCCCAGGCGAGGCTCAACCTTATCTTGAGTAAAACTAATTTAGTTTCCTTTAACCCACTACTGCTAGGCTACATGTATAGCCGTCATAACAAACTGATCTGCCGTGTACAGCTATATGTGTGACAATAGCGGATCGGGAGGGATGTTCCACTACATGTAATGGACTCCCACTCCCAACGGTAGGATAGTTGCCAGAAATCACCAGAGACTATGATGTCAAGAGCTTTCTAATAGCGTCACTAATGGGTTAATTTCTTATATATAAATGGTGTAGAGGTAATAGTGATATGTTGTAACCCTTGCAAGGGTAGCATTTCCCAACAAAATTGAGATAATCCATACAAGAGATGGGCTTTTGACTACACAACTTGAAACCTTTTCCTTGGTTAACACTTTATATGTAACTAACTTTATGTAATTACTATCATATTCATGACTGCTACTACTCCTGTAGTGTGATTAGTTACAAATGCCATTCCTAACTCTCTTCAAACTCTAAAATAAATACCTTATAACCTGTAATAACATATAATATACAAAAAAGTATCCCATTTATTACAGTGCCAATTTCTTTAATAACCTGAAAATTACAAAAATCAACAGAAAAACACATGTTGAAGTGTAATTTTGGACATGCTACTAATCAGTAGCCATGTGACTCCATTTTCTACATGTAGCACTGTTAAAAGAAAAAAATCATCCTATGTCTTAATGCATAAATCCTTCAACCTCATTGGTAAATGACCTTAATAAACTTTTACAAGTACTCTTCAAATATTTTTATTTTCTTGTATTAATAATATTGAACATTTCTGGAGTTGCACACACTGTTAAAAGTATCACCAGGGACAAAATAATTATATTTTGTATATAATTAATTCCACCCTTTCTCTATTAGTCTTTGCTTTCTGGCAGTCAGGGCTCATGAGGTATATCTGACAAAGAGGAACCAAGTTTGTCTTAACCCCCCCCAGCCCCCCCCCCCAAAAAAAAGCAGGAAAATATCCTAGAGAGAACATACAAAACAATCAATAGTGCAAACAATTGCTGCCTGGCAGCAGTAAAACTGATATCAAACTTTACCACATCCCTGACTGATGATGAAAAATAATTACCTTCCTTAGATCAGTACATATTAATATGAGTATGGTCATATTCTACTGAAATAACATAGGTCTACAGGATATGATGAACTGAACATGATAATTGTTTTTGTGATGATGTAGTGGATCATGGGAGTCAAAAGTTGGGTTCCACTAACTTTAACTAACTCTGACTGACAGTGATTACCACTCTTTTGACAACGGCAAGGCATACCATCAGAAAAACTAGAGGAGCTAATCCTAGGGTGTTCTTTTCCTAGATATTCTCTCTCTCTCTCTCTCTCTCTCTCTTCCTTTCTCTCATATTCTCTCTCTCTCTCTCTCATATTCTCTCTCTCTCTCTCTCTTCCTTTCTCTCATATTCTCTCTCTTCCTTTCTCTCATATTCTCTCTCTCTCTCTCTCTCTCTCTCTCTCTCTCTCTCTCTCTCATATTCTCTCTCTCTCTCTCTCTCTCTTCCTTTCTCTCATATTCTCTCTCTTCCTTTCTCTCATATTCTCTCTCTCTCTCTCTCTCTCTCTCTCTCTCTCTCTCTCTCTCTCTCTCTCTCTCTCTCTCTCTCTCTCTCTCTCTGTCTCTCTCTCTCTCTTCCTTTCTCTCATATTCTCTCTCTCTCTCTCTCTCTCTCTCTCTTCCTTTCTCTCATATTCTCTCTCTCTCTCTCTCTCTCTCTCTCTCTCTCTTCCCTTCTCTCATATTCTCTCTCTCTCTCTCTCTTCCCTTCTCTCATATTCTCTCTCTCTTTCTCTTCCCTTCTCTCATATTCTCTCTCTCTCTCTCTTCCTTTCTCTCATATTCTCTCTCTCTCTCTTCCTTTCTCTCATTCTCTCTCTCTCTCTCTTCCTTTCTCTCATATTCTCTCTCTCTCTCTCTTCCTTTCTCTCATATTCTCTCTCTCTCTCTCTCTTCCTTTCTCTCATATTCTCTCTCTCTCTCTCTCTTCCTTTCTCTCATATTCTCTCTCTCTCTCTCTCTCTTCCTTTCTCTCATATTCTCTCTCTCTCTCTCTCTTCCTTTCTCTCATATTCTCTCTCTCTCTCTCTTCCTTTCTCTCATATTCTCTCTCTCTCTCTCTTCCTTTCTCTCATATTCTCTCTCTCTCTCTCTCTCTTCCTTTCTCTCATATTCTCTCTCTCTCTCTCTTCCTTTCTCTCATATTCTCTCTCTCTCTCTCTCTTCCTTTCTCTCATATTCTCTCTCTCTCTCTCTCTTCCTTTCTCTCATATTCTCTCTCTCTCTCTCTCTTCCTTTCTCTCATATTCTCTCTCTCTCTCTCTCTCTTCCTTTCTCTCATATTCTCTCTCTCTCTCTCTCTTCCTTTCTCTCATATTCTCTCTCTCTCTCTCTCTTCCTTTCTCTCATATTCTCTCTCTCTCTCTCTCTTCCTTTCTCTCATATTCTCTCTCTCCCTCTCTCTTCCTTTCTCTCATATTCTCTCTCTCTCTCTCTCTCTCTTCCTTTCTCTCATATTCTCTCTCTCTCTCTCTCTCTCTCTTCCTTTCTCTCATATTCTCTCTCTCTCTCTCTCTTCCTTTCTCTCATATTCTCTCTCTCTCTCTCTCTTCCTTTCTCTCATATTCTCTCTCTCTCTCTCTCTTCCTTTCTCTCATATTCTCTCTCTCTCTCTCTCTTCCTTTCTCTCATATTCTCTCTCTCTCTCTCTCTCTTCCTTTCTCTCATATTCTCTCTCTCTCTCTCTCTCTTCCTTTCTCTCATATTCTCTCTCTCTCTCTCTCTCTTCCTTTCTCTCATATTCTCTCTCTCTCTCTCTTTTCCTTTCTCTCATATTCTCTCTCTCCCTCTCTCTTCCTTTCTCTCATATTCTCTCTCTCTCTCTCTCTCTTCCTTTCTCTCATATTCTCTCTCTCTCTCTCTCTTCCTTTCTCTCATATTCTCTCTCTCTCTCTCTCTCTCTTCCTTTCTCTCATATTCTCTCTCTCTCTCTCTCTCTTCCTTTCTCTCATTCTCTCTCTCTCTCTCTCTCTCTTCCTTTCTCTCATATTCTCTCTCTCTCTCTCTCTTCCTTTCTCTCATATTCTCTCTCTCTCTCTCTCTTCCTTTCTCTCATATTCTCTCTCTCTCTCTCTCTTCCTTTCTCTCATATTCTCTCTCTCTCTCTCTCTTCCTTTCTCTCATTCTCTCTCTCTCTCTCTCTCTTCCTTTCTCTCATATTCTCTCTCTCTCTCTCTCTCTTCCTTTCTCTCATATTCTCTCTCTCTCTCTCTCTTCCTTTCTCTCATATTCTCTCTCTCTCTCTTTTCCTCTCTCATATTCTCTCTCTCTCTCTCTTCCTTTCTCTCATATTCTCTCTCTCTCTCTCTCTCTTCCTTTCTCTCATATTCTCTCTCTCTCTCTCTTTTCCTTCTCTCATATTCTCTCTCTCTCTCTCTTTCCTTCTCTCATATTCTCTCTCTCTCTCTTTTCCTCTCTCATATTCTCTCTCTCTCTCTCTTCCTTTCTCTCATATTCTCTCTCTCTCTCTCTTCCTTTCTCTCATATTCTCTCTCTCTCTCTCTTCCTTTCTCTCATATTCTCTCTCTCTCTCTCTTCCTTTCTCTCATATTCTCTCTCTCTCTCTCTTCCCTTCTCTCATATTCTCTCTCTCTCTCTCTCTTCCCTTCTCTCATATTCTCTCTCTCTCTCTTCCTTTCTCTCATATTCTCTCTCTCTCTCTCTTCCTTTCTCTCATATTCTCTCTCTCTCTCTCTCCTTTCTCTCATATTCTCTCTCTCTCTCTCTTCCTTTCTCTCATATTCTCTCTCTCTCTCTCTCTTCCTTTCTCTCATATTCTCTCTCTCTCTCTTCCTTTCTCTCATATTCTCTCTCTCTCTTCCTTTCTCTCATATTCTCTCTCTCTCTTCCTTTCTCTCATATTCTCTCTCTCTCTTCCTTTCTCTCATATTCTCTCTCTCTCTTCCTTTCTCTCATATTCTCTCTCTCTCTCTCTTCCTTTCTCTCATATTCTCTCTCTCTCTCTCTCTTCCTTTTCTCATATTCTCTCTCTCTCTCTCTCTTCCTTTTCTCATATTCTCTCTCTCTCTCTCTCTTCCTTTTCTCATATTCTCTCTCTCTCTCTCTCTTCCTTTTCTCATATTCTCTCTCTCTCTCTCTTCCTTTTCTCATATTCTCTCTCTTTCTCTTCCTTTCTCTCATATTCTTTCTCTCTCTTTCTCTTCCTTTCTCTCATATTCTTTCTCTCTCTTTCTCTTCCTTTCTCTCATATTCTCTCTCTCTTCCTTTCTCTCATATTCTCTCTCTCTCTTCCTTTCTCTCATATTCTCTCTCTCTCTTCCTTTCTCTCATATTCTCTCTCTCTCTTCCTTTCTCTCATATTCTCTCTCTCTCTTCCTTTCTCTCATATTCTCTCTCTCTCTTTTTTCTCTCATATTCTCTCTCTCTCTTCCTTTCTCTCATATTCTCTCTCTCTCTTCCTTTCTCTCATATTCTCTCTTTCTCTTCCTTTCTCTCATATTCTTTGTCTGTCTCTGTCTCTGTCTCTCTCACTCTCTCTCTCTCTTTCACTCACTCACTCACATATATTTTGGAAGACCTGTCAAAAACTGGAGAGATTTATTTACCAGCAACTTTGTTTTACTAACAGCTACACACACAGTATCACCTCCATACCCCCATGTGTTTTCCTGCATGTATATTCTTGCAAAGGATCTTATTGGGTGTAATTCTGGCATATTTTATTTAGCCAAACCCTAGATTTTATCCTCTTCCCATGTTCCCCTTTTACATGCCATTTCATTACATATCACAGTTACCTCTGGGTATATCATACTTATATATTTTTTTTCATAAATACATCTCAATACACATTCAATAGTTTCATATAAATTAGATTATTTTGTGTGTTTTACTTACATACTTATGGCAATCTACCTCATTTTTATTCATATGTAAGGGGGAACTCCGATAACTTTAACTTTAGACTTCACTAAGATTTAATGGATTTGAGATATAACAATGAAATATACTTTTTTGATTTGTATTTTTTTGTGGCTGGAGGAACTGTGGTTAGCAGGGGTTAAATATTATGATGCAGTGCTATCATCACAAAATATTTTAAAGAAAAATAAAACATAAATTTGTATAAAATACTTACTGATTCTCCCTTTTCTTTGGCAATGACACGCTTGTCTTCCATGTCACATTTGTTCCCAAGAATCATCTTTTCTACATCTTCATTTGCATGCTGTCCAAAAAGAAGAAAATTTATATTAGCAACGCATATATATTTTATGTATATATCATACACAATATATATAAATAAAAAAGATAAAAGGAGGTTACACCCCTTTTTACCATTAGCACCACAGAGAAACAAGGTGTTTTTGCACTGCACATCCTCATTTCATATCTAACCCAGAGGCCAATATCATCTCTTAACATTTAGCAATCAATTAAAGAACACTTTAATTCCCTAAATTCTACACTCCTTTTTGTAACATGAAGACTGTGCTTGTTAAAACAACATGAGAGATGAGGAGAGGCGATAGTTATAAAAAGAGAGCAAGTAAAAGCAGGAGAGCGGAAAAATATGTATACCACTCCACATCTAGTTGGTCGAGGATGTGGTGCAAAATCTATGATGGAAGATTATTGAAAAATAATGCAAAAAATAATGGTAAAGACAAGGTAGTATTCTTACAGAAAGAATTTGCAACTATAGAGGTTTCATTCACTCTCTACCCTCATGTCACAATCACTGATCATAGGCCTAGTGGCGGGTGATTGTAATGCACCACTACTACCCTCATTTCTGACAGAAATAGAAAAACTTACTTATCAAAATATTTTAAGTATATATGCTGGCACTACTGTTGATTTATAGTTCACAAGAAAATTAATTATTACATTATGTATACCCACCCCACACACACACATCTATTATATATATATATATATATATATATATATATATATATATATATATATATATATATATATATATATATATATATATATATATATACTTCTGAAGAAATAATTACAGTTAGATAAATTATCAAGATAATTTTATTATCAGTGTTGCCTGGAGCAATTCATATAAATAAAGCATTTGTCATTTTGAATGTTCTGAGCAGTGAAAAACTATTCTTATATATCTTGTGTGATTATAACAGTGAAATTTGATGCATAAAGGAAATTAGGATAAAAAATGTAGATGTATGTATAAATGCAGCAAAACAAACATGCGGGCTAACTTTGTTTCCTGATACTTGTGCATTGGCTGTTTATTTATCGCATAGCCAGTTTGATTTTTTTTAGATTATTTTTTTAACTTTTAGAATTTTTAGTCGATTTTTAATTTTTTGGGGAGGGGGGTAGGGGATAATGACTGATTAACTGACTATATTGAAGATAGCATCTGATTATAAAAAATGTTAAAACAATAACACCAATCACCCCACGAGAAAATAAAAGGGCAATGACTAGACTGAATGACCGCAGAAGGAAAGTATTTGAATGTAGTTGCCACAATCGGATGATTTAGTAATTTCTGCATACATAAGTGGCCTATTTGCTCCAAAGAATATCCCATGCAGTAAAGCATATAATTCAGCATTTCCTATGTAATTATGACAAACATATCATAAATATCAAACAGA